AATTATATATTTAATTATATAAAAATGTATGTAAATATATTTTATAGATTATATTTTAATCTATAATAGATTGATAAATTGCTTAAATGATTTACATTGAATTAGAGTAATGACATCTTTAAAAATAAAGACAATTTACTAAATATATGTGATTGCAAGAAAATAATGTAAAATTTAAATCTTGTAAAAAAACAAATCTCCTTGGCCCTAAAATATGCTTTGTTTTCTTTATGCAAATTAATTTAACATTGTCTTTACTCATGATTTTAGTGTTAAATGTGACCTGGATATGCAAGATTCACCCAGGTACTTTTTTAATGAAGCCAAGTGCATGACATCACTCATCACGTGAATTATGCAGCAAATGTTTCTCTGTGCGTATTATACAACCTGATGTTCACATGTCTGCCCCTAAGTGCCTGGATCTGTCCTATCCATAATTCATAACTCAATGTCTCCAAGCTCTGGCCCGAGCACTTCAGGAACATGGCATGAAGAGATCCGTCACTGGATAATTTCAAAAGATAAAGTGGATGCTTTAAATGTCACAAAGCACCTTTTTGTCTTCATTCAACACTATTGTTTCATCACTTCATATCATGGTTTGCCCATGGTTATCTTGGATACATATTCTAAAATCTTGTCCACGTGAGGAAAATCTGCACACATTCACACTTGAGCTGCATTAAAGCATCTCTGCATATGACACATGCTTCTCCACCGACTGATGCTTTTAGCTCTGAACTAATGCACCTCTGCATTTTTCATCTGACGTACATTACCAGCCACACATGATGCACCGCCGGAAACACCAACCCCAGTTTAGAAATGAGTGATTTTCTCATCTGGAAACAACTTCAGCATAAAGCATAAAGCATATTACCACCAATCAGCAATTAGCAAATGCAGTTCTATGAGTCCAAACATCTCATCAACAGCGAATAGGTAAACATTTTACAGTTAATGTGTAAATGTCCCTAATAATAAGCCATTACAGCAATCAAATTAAGTATACAATCCTCCAAAAACATTCAAATGCATCACTAGGATTACAAGAACCCATTATTTCTCAAACTTTCCTTTTTCCACTTGAATAAAGCACAACCTCAAATATCCCTAGGTGTTATCGCTCTAAACCAGATTCAATCCTCAAAGCCTTCAGAAGACTCTCAGTCGGAGTAAAAAATGCTCTCACAAGCCATACTGAGGACTGGCTGTATATCAAAGACGTAACCGAGTGTGTTTTGCTTGTATTTGTGATATTGAAGGAACAACTGTTGATGTTGTGTTTGATTGGCAGCTTACAAGCCACAACAGACACTGCTATGTTCTGCCAATATTGCAAATGGAGGTAAACCGGCATCAGCCAATAAAGTGTCAGCTTTTCTTGTTCATTATGAAAGACTGTGGGAAACGTGATTGTGAGATTCGCTCTGAATGATTCATATGCTCAGTGGAATGCAAGTAAACAACTATAAAGCAGTTTTTGAACGAACTCCTGCTCACTATGAAGGGAATACTCAGTTGTGCACTAACAGCAGTATGAATGGCCGTTTGTAACGGGAATTCTTGGGAAGGTCACATGAGGCTCCTGGAAGCTTCTGTACTCACCGGGTTGTGGGTTTGCCAAGGAAACAGAAAGGACTCTGGGAAACATGCTTTTGCAAAAAAATTTATATTTCTTTTATATTAATATATATGTATGGATGGATTATATATAAAGGGTCAGCTCTTCTATATACAGTATATATAGTTTCATTTTTAAACATATTATTGCTGTTCTCAGGTTATAGTAGCAGCTAATCGTAGCAGGCCGATGGGTAGTCTTGAATGTCAGAAACAGACATTTATGAATAATATATCAGCAGATGCCTTCATCATCTGGTATGCCTCAGATTACCATTACTATTGCATACACCGGGAAATACAGATAATTACCAATAAAATGCATATTACAGGAACTTATATGAGCAATGTTCATTAATGACAATAAAAAAAAAAACTACATTTTATTTTACAGGCATCACAGGTAGACTTACACTATCTTCTAAGATACCTTCTCTTGTACTCTTGTATGTGTGTGTGTGTGTGTGTGTGTGTGTGTGTGTATACATAAGCAATGCTAGAATATAGAACTATTTATCCAATATAGTGGATAAAAGGGTTAGAAATACTGATTCTAAATTTCAAAGCATACTTACAATTTACTTATAATTCATACTTACACTATCTTCCTTCTCTTGTATGTGTGTGTGTGTGTGTGTGTGTGTGTGTGTGTGTGTGTGTATACATAAGCAATGCTAGAATATAGAACTATTTATCCAATATAGTGGATAAAAGGGTTAGAAATACTGATTCTAAATTTCAAAGCATACTTACAATTTACTTATAATTCATTCAATACCAAAAAGAACCAATCAAATGTAGTTCGACCTGAATAAAAATGAAATATTTTACCCAATAGTTATGATTATAACATGCAATATCATGCAATATCGATGGCTTTCGTCCCAGTCCTCACAACATCATACAGAAGACACAGAAGAAAATTGCTAAATGCCAAATTTCTGACCAATTTCCAGCGCAGAGCCGATCTGTTAGTCAACGATCAATACAGTTCATTGAGATTTAACGGAGAACCGAAGCAGCCAATTAAATATCTGCTGAGTGTATTAGCAAAGCCTGCAATTCTCATTTTCAATCACATGTTCTTATTTTCATCTATAACAGCTCCAACCCAATCAAATGTAGTTCGACCTGAATAAAAATGAAATATTTTACCCAATAGTTATGATTATAACATGCAATATCATGCAATATCGATGGCTTTCGTCCCAGTCCTCACAACATCATACAGAAGACACAGAAGAAAATTGCTAAATGCCAAATTTCTGGCCAATTTCCAGCGCAGAGCCGATCTGTTAGTCAACGATCAATACAGTTCATTGAGATTTAACGGAGAACCGAAGCAGCCAATTAAATATCTGCTGAGTGTATTAGCAAAGCCTGCAATTCTCATTTTCAATCACATGTTCTTATTTTCATCTATAACAGCTCCAATCCGAGAAAAGCTAAGATTATAATGATTCTTTAAAACATAATCATAAATCAAACCAGACTTCACTTTAAATCAATCCACTCTAGAGTTTCGTTTAGTTTCGCTTTGGATTTGGGGGGGGGGGGAGGGTTCAATGACAGTCTTTGTACTCAAGTGCATATGAAGGACTCCCGAATCAGACGCGTTTCTATGTGACTCTGTCAATCTTATTATTATCCGTGAGTGTGTTTGCTGGCAGCCGTCGCCCTGTGCTAACCTTCAGCACGGTCCACTGCAGTCAGCAAGAGTATGCTGGCTCTACTAATGAAGCTATGAATAAACTCAGACTGTGGGAATATAGACGAGGATGCACTGTGTGATGAAACGCATTAGTCAAGAACATCATTTACTCTGCGAGTCTTCAGCAAATCTGTAACATTAACAAGCTGCAAAACTATTATTGCTTACTCAAATCTTTTGAGACAGCTGCTGAGGATTTAAAAGTACATAATTAGAACTAAATAATGTCGCAAGCAAGTAAATGTTGCAAACAAACAGGCTTGAGCAGACACACAATCTTTGAGAACACTAGAGAGCCACAAAACAACATATATTATTCAGGCCAGGGCACAGACTCCACTGAAGATGGATGATATTTCCTGTCGTACAAGGCCATCAAAGCAAAATCACTGCCACTGACTGCTTTATTTCTGCTGTAACACTCTCTGATATACCACAACTGCAGTTTCAGTACAGCACAGTCTCTAGTGTGTATGATTTACAGGACATCAATTACACTTGCTTTGCTTTTTTAAGTTTCATGTTCATAGTTAAAATAGTAAAAAATCAAATTTTTGCAATTTTTCTTCCGCTATAATCTGTTCTGTTCTATTCTACAATTCTTTCTACTGTTTTGGATGTCAATCTATCTTTTTGATTTTTGACAATATTCTATTCTATTGTTCTATTCCATTCTAATATTCGATTATTTACTTTTCAATATGTTCTCAATATTCTTTTCCAAAACACAACATGACATGAACAGATTTGCATTTTTATTTTATTTAGTTATTTTTATTCATGTTATTTATTTATTTGCAATAGTCTATTGTATTCTACTCTTTTTCAATAATAACATTACTGGAGTTTTGACAATATTCTATTCTACATTGTTTTTTTTAAATTCTTTTCAATAACATAACACAAAATAATAGAACATATATGTTGACAATATTCAATCCAAAACATAACATGACATGAAGAGTCTTTGCAAAAGTCTACTCTATTCAATAACATAACCAGATTGATTTTTTTTGCAATATTCTATTCTACATTGTTTTTTTTAAATTCTTTTCAATAACATAACACAAAATAATAGAACATATATGTTGACAATATTCAATCCAAAACATAACATGACATGAAGAGTCTTTGCAAAAGTCTACTCTATTCAATAACATAACCAGATTGATTTTTTTTACAATATTCTATACTTTATTATTATTTTCAAAAACATAATATGTCAATATTCTAATCCAAACATAACATGAACAGATTTTTGCAATAGTCTATTGTATTCTACTCTTTCTTTTTGATAAACAGAATTTTTTTTTGCAATAGTCTATTCTATTGTATTCTAATATTTCCCATAACACATCATATTATAACATATCTTGGCAATGATCTATACCATAACATGACAGGACATGACCAGATTTTTGCCAACATTCAATTCTATTGATTTCTATTTTTTCCCCATAGCATTACATAACGAAACATATTTCTTGGCAATATTCTATTCCATAACGACAAGACATGACCAGATTTTTGGCAACACTCTTATTCTACTTTCTTGTTTTCAGTTGTTTTCCATTTAATTCTATTCTGTCCTATAACATAAAACCACAGTAGGCCTTTGTTTCAAAAGGAGCGTCAGTGATTATAAGAGGAGAATGAGCTGTACCTCCTGCAGCTGCTCCAGCTCCTGTCTGAGGGTCTCCTGATCGGCCTCGAGCTCCGCATACTGCTGCTTGAGGGTCTGGTTCTCCTCCAGGACCACCAGCCCGCACTCCGCCGCCCGGACCTTCTCCCGGTTCGCCTCCGCGAGCTCGCGCGTCAGCCGCTCCACCTCCGCCCGGTAATGATCCACCGACTCCCCGCATCCTCCTCCACCTCCCCCAGCAGCCATCGGCCCGGCCCGTCCCCTCCACTGCGCTGGATGGACGGATGGATGGAGGCACCTGCACCTTACCCGAACCTCCAATACAAAGTGAATGATCCAGACATATTAACAACAAAAGACGAATGAATTGAAGTCCGAACTCATTTCGAGCTGAAAAGGGCCTCGCTTTCTTTCTTTCTTCCTCTTCTTTTTCTGCTTGATCATGGGTGTTGGGACGCCATCATCACTAGGATGCAGAAATGTGGCCCAACTCACTTCGGCTCTCCTCCTGCTGTGACGTCAGCGCATCTTGCTGCAGCCCTTCCCGAAGCCCGTGCTCATGCATATGAATTAAGTAGCGCCGCCGTTGCTTAGTAACCTTCCTACTGAATATTCATAAGCGGTGAGATCGTCAGCCTATCAAGTAGGGGAACGTCACATTGCGTCATTAATATTCATGAGCTTGCAGTAGGCTTATTTATTTGTTCGCATTTATTAATTATTTATGACTTACTCATTTGTCATAGCTATTATAGGCTATACACTTATAATCAACGATAGGTCATTTGGTTTGATGACAATATTGTTTCTAACATATACCACAATATTAACTTCTTATTATTGAATTGTTGTAAATAAATATCACATTTGCAACTGGTCAGTGTTCAGAAAATGTTGGGAAATCACTTCATGCAGCCCTACAAGAGTGATTACTGATAAACTGTCTGAAAAAAAGACTTAAAAAGAGTTTTTAAGAGAAGAAAGAAATCCCCCACTGACTTTCAAAGCTGCTAACGACTTTCTACTTTGAGGATCTTGATAGAAACGTAGTGGAGTGAAAAGTACAATATTTGTCTTTCAAATGTAGTGAAGTTAAAGTCATAAGTTCCCAGAAAAAATAATACTCAAGTAAAGTACAGATACTCAAAAAGTGTACTTAAGTACAATACTCAAGTAAATGTACTTAGTTACTGTCCGCCTCTGGTTATACCAAAGCCGCTTTAATAATAAAACAGTGTCTTTTCGCCATTAGGCTATGTATTAAACTTCAACGACCGATTCGCAACTGAATCATTCTTTCGAGTCGGATCTTTTCAGTGTTTTTGTTTTTGGAGATCCTTGCAAATTTTACAAACAGAAACAAATCATTGTGCACATTAAACAGCTGCATAATTCGCATTGCTTTCAAGTTTTTACTTTTAGATATTGTTTCCAAATACACTTTAATGTAATTTTTCAATCGTTCAAAGATAGGCCTTTTTTCATTCCATTTGACTTTATGAATACCCTTACGAAAAAGAAGTTTATTCAAGTGTGCTATTAGTATACTTCTTTTAAACTAAAAATAGGAAAGTATACTTTTAGTCTACTTTTTATGTACTTCTCAGAAATGGGCTTTATGTGCTTCTCAGAAATATACTTAAAATGACATTTAAGTATACTTGACCTATACTTAGAAAAAGTCTAAATATATTTGAGCTATAGTTGTGCTCCTAGAATCCGTGTTTTCATTGTTATACGGTAGGGGTGCAAGTACACATCTTTTGTACAGAATTTCCAAAAAACACAAGTGAAGAAGAAACCGAAACAACAGATGCTTCCACATGTAATCTAACACGATCATCAGACATAAAACAGCATCAAAACTGTGTAACATTATGGAATAAAATGTCGACCAATGAAGAGGTAATAATGACTGTCAAGCTTTGGGGTGTTGATCGACTCCATCTACGTTTTGATTATCATTCTGAATCCAATTCATAATCTTTTTTCAGCTTTTTGTTCAACATGTTGTTTATTTCTTTATTTTTTATTTCTGAAACTTATCCACATTCAAGTGTTTAAAAAAAGAATGCATGAAGCTAGAATAAAATATTTTTGTTTACAAGCAGATACCCTGTTCTTTTGATGTTTTGTATGTTCAGATATTCATGTAACAAAATATATACAAATTAATATTTTTTACATACCTTAATAGGGACATAGTAGTATACTTAAAGTATGATGTAAAGTTCACTTAAAGAAAACTTACGAGTATACTTGCAGCATAAAACTACTAAACTAGTTTACTGAGACTATACTTCAAAGTGTACTAAAAATGCTACTACAAGTATTTAATTAGTAAACTAACTAGTACCTATAAGTTCACTTTTAGTATAGTTGCAGTACAAACGAAACATTTTGATGTAAACTAGTTGTGTACTCAAAGTTTACTACTGTTATACTTATACTTAAAAGTATACTTTTATATACTAGAAAGTGGGCCAATTTAGTCCCAAGGAGTATTGAAATAGTACACTTACAAGTATACTACTAGTACACTGATATTTGTATACTTACTACATAAAGTATACTTAAAAATATACTTGAACTTTACTTAAGTATACTTACTAAAATAAACTTGAAGTATACTACTTTTTGGTAAGGGTAGGCCTATAATAACAAGCAATTATAATAATTAAATCATAAATGCTACATTTTATTCACCATCCCATGAGAAACCTTAACATAACATCAGCTTCTGCAAACTAAATTTTAAATTGCAATTTATACAAAAAAGAAATGAATTGTAATTGACTAAATCATGATGTTAGAGACCACGTGATTTAAAAGAATCAAAGAATCACTTTTAAACGAACCTTTTTTTCTATTCTTGAGTCTCTTGACTACTTTGACCATATCTTTCTATGGCATAAATAGTAAGAGCTAGTTCTGACATAACTTTGTTGATTTACTGTGATAAATGTCATCTTTACAATCAGAGTCCCTCAAATTTCACATAATAAAAATACATGTGTACAATTTCCTCTCTCATCTTTTTAAGTGGGAGAACTTGCACAATTGGTGGCTGACTAAATACTTTTTTGCCCCACTGTATATATAGAGAGAGAGAGAACACATTTATATTTGCTTCTTTTATTTTAATCACCTCAATATTTCAATATTTTCTTCCTTTATATAAATTCATTAATCACAAATCCAAAAAGCTAATAAGTGATTAAAATAAAGAACAGTTTGAGTTTAGTTACAGCACATGAATTATTCAGTTTTTCCTTACATCCCGAAAATCTTAATGTTGCAAAGAACTGCCCATTTCCTAATGCCCTGGTTATCTAAAACAAGATTATTCCGTTTCAATTCAGACTAGAAGTAGTGTGTTTTCAGCGGACAGCTGTGTGTGTGTGTGTGTGTGTGTGTAGTATATATATATATATATATATATATATATATATATATATATATATATACCATCCTCTCTAGCAGACGTTGCAGGAGCAGAGTACAGTAGGGTGAAAGTCAGTGAGCAGTTCAAAGCCTCGAAGAGCCTGAGCTGAATAATTCACTAATGCAAAACTATTTCTCCACACACATCTACAAGTCCTTCTCTGGAACACACAGGAGGAAGGCCACATATGCAGGCAGTATACACTACAGGCTGCAGAAGTCCTTCATACGACTCCAGGGAGAAACATTCATCTATATTTTATCTCATCAAGCGCTTTCGTCCGTGACTGATCGGTTTATCTATCTGTGCTGTGTTTCACATTTCTGGAAGCACTTGAAAGACTTCCCCAGAGACACTAGATGGCAGCCTAAGACATCAGAAGAAGCGTGCATCAGGAACCATTTAAATGTGTCTGACACTCCTTTATATTAAATCCTGTTCTGATACTGTATGTGAACAGTTTTTTAGCTCTAAATGAAGAAAAAAATGTAAATCATTATATTTATAATAATCATAAATTAAAGACTCAGGAGGCCGAAAATCTTCATATCACACCTCAATCAGAACAAAATCAAATTGCAAGCTTACTAGAGAGAGAGAGAGAGAATTATTTACAATATTTAGAATGTTGGAATTTAAATATTCAAATTTTAATTAATTTAAAATTTCTTATTTGAGTGATTATTTGATCAGACTTCAAGTCAAGAAATTGTATGCAAAAATAAATGCAACTTAAAATTTAGGATTAAAAATGTACATTTTTTATATAGAAATTTCAGAATATTGGAATTAAAATCTTTAAATTGAATTTAAATTTCTTATTTGAGTGATTATTTGATCAGACTTCCAAAAGTCAAGAAATGTAATGCAAAAATAAATGCAGCTTAAAATGTAAGATTAAAAATGTACATTTTTTATATAGAAATGTCAGAATATTGCAATTAAAATATTTTAATTAAATTGTATTAATTAAATTTAAATTTCTTATTTGAGTGATTATTTATGCAATTTATGCAAAACATACAATTTATGCAAAATTTAACGCAACCTAAAATTAAATATTACAGTTAAAAAAAAAAAGATGTTACTGTTTGAATTAAATGTGACAACAATTCAAAATTCTTGCTCAGAACTGTTTTATGTTAAGCTTGGCTTTAACATGGGCATTGTATGTATATATAATGCACCATGTCATTCCAAGCATACTTAGCATGCTATACTAAATTGATTATTGAAAGAATTTGTGAACAGATTTCTTTTCAGCTTCACTTTCTCTCTCTCCTCTGACAATCGACCTTTTCTCCACGAGTCTCTGCTGTAATCTGTCTCTCTGAGAGGCAGGAGTTGTGCCAGATAGCTTTATTTCTGCAGTCTGAAGCAGCAAATGGATTACACATTTAATTAACACACAATCCCTCCCGCACTCGCAGCCTCACGGCCAGTTTACATCCAGACAATATGGCACAGTTTAACAACACCAATATTCCTTTACAGCAGCGGTTGTCAACCTTTTATGACCTGAGATCCCTAAACATGACAAACCCAGAGGTCCAGTTATAAAACAAAGTAACCATATTATAATTTATTTAGTAAAATTAGAATTATAATATTTTAAAATGAATATAAATAGATCAAAATATTAAAATAAATAGATTTTAGAAAATATATTATTTTTGTTATTTTGTACTTTTAATTACTATATTTAAAAAATATATTTTTAAAACATATGTAATTAATAACAATTTAGAAACAATTTAAATAATGAGTTTTTATTAGTCCACAGTCTGCCTGCAGTACTTTCGTGCGCCCTAGGGGTCTGTGGACCTTCTTTTGAAACCTTTAGCTTTACAGGATGAAATTAAGTTTGTGACTAATAACTCTGAACTGTGAGTGAGTCTGCAGCTAAAGGGCACAGGTCTGTAGAAATCTCTCCTGAGTGACAGAAAATCTGGAACATGTCTGTGTTTGGAATGAAAGCGCTTCGTGCACACTACATACAGTAGTATGTACTGTGTACTACTTGTTATATGTAGTAAGTGAATAGTATGTGACACTTTGCAATATGCAACAACAAACA